AAAACTATTTATGTTAAATTAGGTTCACAATAAAACTATTTATGTTAAATTAGGTTCACAATAAAACTATTTATGTAAAATTAGGTTCACAACAAAACTAGTTATGTTAAATTAGGTTCACAACAAAACTATTTATGTTAAGTTAGGTTCACAATAAAACTATTTATGTTAAATTAGGTTCACAATAAAACTATTTATGTTAAATTAGGTTCACAAGTTAGGTTCACAATAAAACTATTTGAGACCAAATTCAACAAGAATTTCATTTACTGAAAAAAACTGAGGCTGACATTTTGGAGAGGGAGAATATCAGAAACTAAACATTATTCTGGCTGTTTTTGGTGCCATTTAAAATTTTGAACCTTTACTTATCTTTGGTTGAAAAAGAAAACACTCACTCTTATGCCAATAAAGCTATCATCATTTCGATTTATAAGGCTTGTGTTCTGTTCAGTTTTCATCTCTCTAAACAAAGTGGTAAGAGACAAAGCCATGGTTCTAGCACAGTTGACCTTGTTGATCTCCCTGGCCTTTCCTAAAGTGGCCTTAATGATGTCTCCATAATCATTGTAAAACTGTGAAGTAAATTACTTTGATCATTTCTAAACCAAAAAAAAAAGCTAATCCATGTCTAATATTGATTTTTACACATTCAAAATCTTTTAGTAAAACTAACATGTATTTGCCAGTTTTGGCTCAAAACATTAAAATAAGAACTTTATACAACTTGTAATCATTGATAATGTTCTTAACTTCATTTTTTACTTTTTACATGATTAATGCAAAGGACAGAAACAATGTAATTTCTAGTCTACAAATTTAAAATATTACCACATTATTGACTATATATATCAGAATTTTCAACCTTTGTGACTATAAGTGATGGAACAAAGTGAAATCAGTTCATTACATCAGAAATGATTTAGTTTCACTATCTTTTCATGATAAATACACGACTCTTGCATTCATACGATTCTTTAAGGTATGTTATCATAATACATTTTAATATTTAATCCAATGTTGAAAAAACACGTGTAACATGAAAATGAACTTGGGTGTACACTTCAGGTTCCTTTTAGTAACAATTCCTATATATAATTTTTTTTTAAATTACCCACATGTGAAACTTACTCGAACATAATGTTTAAAAATATCTGCTGCTTGCTTAATGCTGATGATGTTATAAACAATTAACTTGCAAAAAGAAGCCAAGAAGTTCCTCCTTTTGTGTAACTCTTCAATTTTGGTGTGCTCGTCTTGTTCGTCTAAAATGTTAAAATTGAAGAATAAATAAAAAACAACACCACCTACAGTTACAATAATATGCAATGAAAATAAAGACAAATGCACTACACAAAACAAATTCTATTTAAACACTTAAAATAATGGTGGATCCAAAGGGTTTGATTATTTTAAGTCCATAAAGAAACTTCATAATTTACATTAAATACGAGCTGTCTTTAAAAAGTAACCTTACAAAGTTACTTGTATACAATATCAATACACAATAACATATTTCATTGGTGGTAGTGTCCAGGGTCACCGATGAGGAGTGGAATTCTCCAAAACTAGTCTGGCTCACAGACACCCCCCCACCCTCAATGAAAGAATACACCATTCCAAGCTTTTACTTGTTGTTAAACAAATGTTTAAACAACTCTATTCAATAATAACATACACATTCCCCAAAAGATAAAGAAAAATATTATGTTATAAAGGATCTTTAATGATTTTTGTTATTCTTTTTTTCCAATGAATAACCACAGTAAATGGTACAAAATATTAAGAAAATTTGAATAAGAAAAACTTAAAAGTAGGTGGGGATAAGCATTATAAACAATTTAACATGAAACTAAAATAAACGACCACGACCATGTACAAGTTAACATTTTAAAATCTATTTAATTTTCATTCTTACAACTTTTATAATTTTTTTCTGCTTTCGCATAATATTACCAAAAACTTATATATATAGTTGTCTTATCTCAAACTGACCATCGTCATCCTCCACAAACACCTTGTCCTGTATAAAAGCTCCCAGCTGTAGTTGGAGAGTTCTACTCGGTTTATAGACTAATGACCCTAAAGCATGCTCGGCATTTTCTGCCAGCTGCTTACAGAAAACTATCATCAGATCACAGATGGTAATGAATGCCTGAAATACAGATTAATCTATTGAATTTCATGCCCTCACAAAAATCTGTTATGACAGTCAGGATGTAGCTTAAGTATCTGTATATAATGTATTTCCAATTTAAAAGATTAATAACTAAATGTATAGCTTAAAGATAAATAAAATTTCTTTTAATAAACTAGCTTTACTGGAGATTTTACAACCTTTTTTTCATGATATTTTTGTACATGAAGCAAGCTAGATGTAGCAGCGTAAAGTAAATTTACAGCTGATCCAATTAAAAATGTGCAAATATAAGGTCTTTACTCAAAAGCTACACAAGGGTTATCTGTGGTAGCCACCCATAACTTTGAACCGACAGACTAGAGAATAGGCAGTTGTATAAAAGCCAACTGTTGGGCTACTCTAATCAAATAGTATGATTTGATCATCACATACACTGCACACCTGGCCCTAAAAATGTAGAACCATGGACCCTCAGATTCACAGTCTGGCACACTATTTGGTAATCCCCCCCCCCCAACTCATTTAAAGTAGAGCTTAAATAATTTTACTCAGCAATGAAGCACTGCCATTCAAGTAAAAAATAGCTTTATTGTGAACTTAATTTAACATAAAAGTACAACTTACACATACGACTGTTAAACTTCTTAAAGTCCTCATAAAAAAAGGTATTATTAAATAGAGAGAACAGAATAGTGTACTGAAAAAACTCTACATGCATTAAGAAAGAGTGAAATTTGGAAAACAGAATCAAAGTGATAAGGAGGGAATTATAGGCTGATATTTTGAATGCAACAAATGTTTTATTTACCTTAAAAACTTGAAATTTTCTTATAAAGTATAAAGATAAAAAAAAGTTGTTTTCATTATATTTTTTCAAATCATGACAAACCGTTCACTTGCCGTCTTTTAGTAAAGAATAATTATCTTGTTATAGAAATACATGTTTAGAAGAATATTCATTTTTCTAGGAACTGGCAAAAAGATTTTCTCTCTCATTTGGCTTGGATCAACTGAAGAATCGAGAAGCTGTGGCAGCCTTACATCGAGAGGGAATTTTGTTTGCTATCAGTAACAGTGATAATCCAGTGGACCCTCTTGGTCCTCCTCCTAACCTAGCTTTTCTGGAAATTCTTTGTGAATTTACCAATAAGTTAATGAAGCTGGATAAGAAAGTTGTGTAAGTAAACACCTGTATTTCCTCAAACTATCTTGAGAGCAACCCGATTGTACAGCTTTCGATACTAACAGAAACAGCAGTGTTATTTAATATATGTAGAAACAATGTCTGAGTACCTACTTAAAAACGTTGGGCTGAAGAACTACTATTACACGATTTTTTATTAAAGAAAATGTCAGCCAGTACGGAAGAACAGCTGATCATAAAATCTTTGAAAGAGAAGGACCCACGATACATTTCGGGTGTTTACGACTTCAGAAAGGCAGAAATTTTTAGGTAAGAAACATTTTTTTTATTAAGTGTTAATATGTTGTTCATAGTACATTAAAAACTTTGGCAATAGTAAATAATTCCTATTTTATTATAAATCATAAAAATACAAAAAATATTATCGAAGTGGTACATATTTTGTACATGTATATATTTACACTGTCGAAATAATGAAGATGAAAATATGGGAAGATGCGCTTAACATTACATGTCCCACTTCTGATAACTTGCATCAAAGAAAAAAAAGTCTTTTTTTAACTAAATATCAATAATAATTATTAAACATCTACACATGTGAAAAAGTAAAACAAACAAGAATGATTAATGAATATCTCCCTTCAAGTCTGTGGTTGAGCTTGTCTAAAATCCACCTCGGATCCAATTTCTGAGTCTTGATCCTGATTACTCTCTTCTTCAGCTTGTTTTGCTTCATCTGAAAAAAATTCATTACTTTTAGTATTCTCCAAACAATACTTTGTTTCGATGTTTTTGATTAACCCTCTTGCAACGGGTAAGTCAAAGTGCACAGGTCATGGTCTTTTAAGGAATTACATTAAAAATTTAACATAGCTAATAAACCTTTTAAAAAAAATCCTTAATCTTCCCTAGTATGAGAATTGTGACGTTTGTTCTCTAGGTCTTCCCCATTCTCTGAAGTACGGAATTTAATGTAAAGTCTAATATTTACAGCGTAGAGGATGAGGACCAAATTGCTAATAAATCTATCAAATGATATATTATCAGTTTGAAACTTTCTCTCATGGTGTTCACATCAAACAGCTGAGGGAATTATTTTAAGCACCTCTGTCCTCAGTTTGAAAGCTAGTTAAATTATAATAGTTGACATTTTTTGCTTTGTGTATGTTATTATATGTATTATTTAAATAAATAAAAATTTAGTCTGCTAATATCATCGGCGTAAAAAGTAGGCTTAAACTTCATTGGAAACCAATAGCAAAAAACAAACAAACTCAAATGTATTCTATTTCTTGTTACAAGGGTACAGTGTAAAAATTAGAAACTTAGTGAGTAAGATAATGAAATATAATAATAATCCTTCACAAGATATGCTTAGGAGCAGCTCATGCGTTACAACTTGAATGGTGGGATTATTAGTTAAACAGAGTTCAAAAGGAAAAAAAAACGTTTGATATTCATTTTGGAGGATTTAGAGATAATGCAAATTAAACAAAACATATCAAAGTTATAGTATTGATACACTGATGGTTATAAGGTCGGAAATATGACAAAGACCATGTTTACAATTTCTGGGGCTGAGACAACCCTTAAAATCACCAGAGAAAGGGTATTCCAGCCCAAAATGTCTAATTTACCTTTTTTTTTGTGTGATTTCACTCACTGCTAGTGCAGATTTTTACATGTTTTCATTCATCCTAAATAAATTCTAAATTTAATGTTAGCCATGCATGCAGTCACTATGACCCCATACAAGTTAAACTAGTAATTCTAGGGTTAAAATTTCAACAAAAATAAATCTATATTTATCTTTTTTTGGATGCCATTTTCCTTTCCTTTCAACTTTTATGCACACGTTACTTCATAAAAGTTACGTTCTCAAAGTCTTCAAAAACTAGGACTAGACACATGTATTCCATCTTCCACAGTCTTAAAACGTTTTTACGAGAAAGATCATCGGCTGATCCAACATAACTTCTTACAAAATCGTTAAGGATCAATTATACCACTGATTAATATGTTGTATTTCCATTAATGATAAACCAAATGTTAACAGCTAGTTTTACCATCATCTCTGTTTCTTTTCCTTCCTCGATACTGTCGACCAGGAGCTCTAGCCATTGGTTGTTCCTGCTCACCATGTACAAGACTGTTTCGATATGACAGCAGCGGTTGCCAGTGGTCTGCTCTAGACCCAGGCATGTTCGTCTGAATGTGACGGTCCAAGTAGGCAAGCCTTAAGAGAGAGATGGGGGTGATATCTTTAAACATGTATTCAGTATTAAAAAAATATTTTTCGGGAGTTTTATTTATATGTTCATAATTATGAACTTCTGGTTTCAGTAGCAGTATAAAGATGTTTTTTTATTTTACAGTAAGGTTTCAGCTTTCTGACACATAGCAATAATAACAACTATAAGGTGCTCCCTCTTCCAATAAATATGTTTTGTTTGGTTTAGCACAAAGCTACATAACAGGCTTTTGAAATCTGAATTTTAGTGTTGTGCATTCGTAAACGTAACATTGACACACTGTTTGGGGGGGGACAGTTTTAGTTTTTAGAATGGGATAACCCTTTAGCTCATATCGGAGGAAAGAAAATAAATTACCACACTGACTCAAAAAAAAAGCAGTCATCACATGACCTGAAATTAGGCCCTAGAATGGGCATTGTTTGCAAGAGGGAAAGAATGTAGTATTTTGTGTCGTTAAAAATTGACTTACTAGCCCTCACTAGTGGGATAGCCATTTAGCTCAGTTTGTAGAGCACTTGCCTGACATAGGACAGAAAATATATTGTGAAACATTAAATCATCACACTTTGAAACATAAATATTCTATAATCTCTGGTAGTTTTAACAGAGTTAAATATAAAACAATGTCCCTTAAAATATTTTCTGTAAGAGTTGAAGGGTAATATTATGACATTGTTCGGTATTAAAATGGTCAGGTGGTTGTGGCGCTCGGGTTCGAATCTACATCCCACCTAAATATGCTCGCTCTTTCAGCCATGGGGGTGTTGTAACATGACGGTCAATCCCACTATACGTTGGTAAAAGACTAGCCCAAGAGTTGGTGGTGAGTGGTGATGATTCGCTGCCTTCTCTCTAGTCTTTCACTGCTAAATTAGGAATGGCTAGTGCGGATAGCCCTTGTGTAGCTTTGCGTGAAATTTAAAACAAACAGTATTAAAAACAAGTGAGGCAATTTCAATGTTAAAACTCATTTTTACTTTTCTTTTCTGTACAAATATATTAAACATATATTATAATAAATATTTAAAAATAGGAAATCTGGTAAAAATAAAATCTGAAAATGTGGAACTCTGAAGTGCGTGTTCTAGCAGTAAAATGTTTTAGGGTGTACAAGTTACAGTAGTGAAACAATCCTTTGGTGGACTTGAGAATTAAAAGGGTAAAAATGTGATTGATGTTTGGACGTTTGAGACATCAATAATGTGAATAACCTGCAGCAGTTGGTAGTGATTTTAAACCAGTGGAAGTTGTTTCACACTGTCAGTCCAGAAACCTGGTGTTTAAACAGCATATGACCTACTATAGCTCGTTGAAATTCTGAAATATGAATAATAAATATACTTTATCACCAAACATGTTTGCCCTTTCAGCCATGGGGACGTTATAATGTGACAGTCAATCCCACTATTCGTCGGTGAAAGAGTAGCCCAAGAGTTGGCAGTGGGTGGTGATGACTAGCTGCCTTCCCTCTAGTCTTTCACTGCTAAATTAGGGACAGCTAGTGCAGATAGTCCTCATGTAGCTTTGTGCAAAATTCAAAAACAAACAAAATATACTTTATCAGTAGTTCATGTCTAAGACTGGGTAATATAGTTAAGGTCACATTGACCGATTCC